CTCCAAATTGTATGGTGTCGCTGAGGGTCTGTGGGAGCCAGATCTTGATGCAGATCAACTATTCGAAACAATATCACAGACGATTATGAATGCTGTCGACCGTGATGCATATTCTGGTTGGGGTGTAATCGTGCATGTGATGTACGTTATGTTCTCTCCTCTCGATCCCATACTGACAGTTCTATGCTACACAGTGAAAAAGACAAGGTTACCAGTCGTACATTGAAAGGAAGAATGGATTAGACAATATATGTATATCAATGGCACATCTGTTTCTTCGAACTTGATCATCATTAGCAGGAGACGCTCGCCAGCTTCATGATGATAGTGGGATCTCAAAGAGGACTGTCATTCGTCGACTGGAAAGATCTATTAGAAGTCTTCAAGTGCGTTCAGATTCATTGTTACCAGATGCAAAACGAGGGTGACGGATCTATATCGATGAGTACCGTAGCAAGATCAAGATGTAAGCGACATTCAAAGTACATTCATTCTTCAGACCGAAGAAATTTTCCAGCGAAGTTTTTGGGGCAGGACACGCCAGGTATCTGTTCCACATGAAGATGTCCCTTGAGGTGAGCGGTGTGTGACTAGCACCAGCGACCTACAATGTATGGTGTAGTTAGAGAGTCTGCTGGGCTTCAGAAAAGGTAGGCTCAGTAATTGGTCACGGCCAGTCTGGCCTACCGCTATTTGGAACCTGAGTACCAGCCGCGTTAATCTTTGCTGGAGGTACCGGTGGTGCCGAAGTGGGGGAAACTCATTGGTCATCTGCATTGTCGTTCAACGTTCAATGTTCAACTGTGCTACATTAGCATCTCTTCCCGATTTTAGGCCGTGCCACTCCAAATCTCATGAATCAACTCAAACCAACTGATTGATATTGCACATAGTAAGAGCGACGACGCCGATGAGGCTCAATCTGACATGGGAAACAACAATGTACATTGCGCCTTGGATAGTATTCTTTGGCACTAGTACTTAAAGTTACACAAGACTAACGTTCGAGACAAAAAGCTCCATATCTATTGGTTCATACAGAACTTCGAACACCTGTTGAGGACAAGTGCTGTCAGTTAACATTTGCAATCGCCTGGTGTGCAAGTGCAGCTAAAGAAATGATTTGAATGAATCTTTTCTGATAAGAGGAAAGGACTCACGAGGCTCCGCAGTTGCACGTTTGGCTTCCACAGTGCTCGGATTGCAAGGTCATTTCAGTCTAAAGGGAACATCAGTCACCCACTGACGTGCAATTATAAGGAAAAAGGAATCCCACAGCGATCATATTGGCAAGTTCTTTCAGGTAGATGTTTCTCTTGGTTGTGTGATGGATGTTTCAGACAAAGGAGTGGAGAACGAGATGATTTATATAGACAAACGAGTAGATTACATCATGTGCTTATTGGGGCTACGACGGAGTCAAAAGAAGAAAAAAAACACAATCGAGATCTCTTTGACACTTGAAGAATTCCTAGTTATCAGCCTGCACATAGAGGGTAAACCGTCCATCCAGGTCAATGTCAAGAGCAGCGCCGATTTCCGATGGATTCCAAGAGCCAACCAGAACGAAAGAGAACGTTGAACAAATGGACATCAAATTTGTTAATATTCCCGTAACCACAAGTCTTGAGAATTTGCATATATCCCTGGTCAAATGACATTGAACGGAAATCTATGTCGTGTGAGGCGACATTGGACGACGGATGCATATGGTGGTTCCCGAGTACGATAGAAAAGTTCCTGAGTACCGTGCCTCACTCGGGAATTCCTGCCTTGATGGTCGACGTGAGAAGATGGTTGTTGGCGAAGGATGCCGTTGGAAGGAGTGTTGAACAGGCTAGGTGGTCCATGTAATGCTCAAAGCCAGATAGATGGGTTTGTGACTGCGCATGGTGACATGAGATATCGGGTAGGTAGGATATCACGGACATTGGGGTAAGAAGGGATGACAGTGGCGGCGATGAACACTAAGAACGACGACGGTCACGCTTGGTGATGCCGAGTTCGTGTTTCGAATGTAGGATGATAAATCCGTACTAGTATAGAATAGTGCTAAAGTGCTGAGACGCGAGTGAGCAAACTATCGGCGTGAGGAAGAATTCAGATACGCACGGGACGCGGAGACAAGAAAAATCGAGCTAAAAGACGATAGCCCAGGAGATCACCAGTGAATCCCGTTATTAATGGCCTTTGCATATACTTGAGACATTACTTGAAGAGTTGGAGAATGTGTTGAGGGAAAATGTGGATGAAAAAGAAACAACAATAGAGGGTGAAAAATGGGGGGAAAGTGAAGATGAGGTAGGAAGGGAAGAAGGGAAAACAAACGAACTGGCTGACATGGGGATCTGCCTTTTATAGCGTGACGAAAGCATTGCGGAATTGAATTGAGGCATATCTGCGGATCGATTATGTAAGATTCCCGGCGCAATAATGCGATTGGTTAGCGAAATTGTTTTTTATCCGATAACGACCTGCGGTAACCAGCGGTAACCATGCTGGACTTGAATTCACGTATCCTCATCTTTGGAGGCGGTGGGACCATCGGTTCTTCTACTGCTTTGTATCTGGCTCGGAAAGGATATCGAAATATACGCGTCCTTGATGTTTGCCCCATTCCCAGTGCTCAAAGTGCCGGAAATGATTTGAACAAAATAATGGGAACCAGTTTGCGAAATCCTGTGGACAAACAACTCAGTCTTGAAGCGGAGGATGCATGGCATGTATATCGCCCTACTTAAGGCAAAAAAATGATATGATAACAGTCTCTGCAGGTCCAATGACCCGACTTTCAGTGCATATTACCATCGCTCTGGGCGGGTAAGTTAGTGATGATAAATGATCTGTTCTCAGTCCAATTGGGATCCGAGGCCTAATCCGGGATATAGTTAGACTGCTGCGGCTCTCTTGATGGTATCCAAGACCTCGAAAACACGATTGCAAAGCTGAAAGATGCGGGACTTGGTCATACTGTGGAATGGCTAGACACGGAGGCCCAAATCATCCGGCGTGTGCCCCAGTTAGCAGGCTCAGACATCCAAGTGCGTTGTTGGTCTCTCCTCGTAGATCCTATTCTAGGCTTACAATACGGCGAACTGAAGGGCTGGAAAGGTATATTTTTTGAGCAAGGAGGATGGTTGGCCGCAGCAAAGGCCATTGATTCAGTCGGCAGGGAGCTCGTAAGATACAGTGTCCAATTCTCTTTTGGAGAGTAAGTACAATGTATATTTCATATGATATTCACATTCGCCTGATATCGTGCTATCACAGTTCGGGAACATTTCAAAGCCTTATTCTGTCGAACGACGGGAAGATTTGCCTAGGTGCCACTACAAAGGATGGAACCCGATACATAGCTGACAGAGTCGTTTTGGCCTCCGGCGCATGGACTCCGTCTCTCGTCGACCTCGAAGATCAATGTTGTTCCAAGGCCTGGGTATATGCGCACATGCAACTCACGTCCGAAGAAGTCAAAGAATATGCTGGTTGTCCGGTAGTATATAATGAAGATCTTGGATTCTTCTTCGAGCCTGACGAGTAAGCTTTCTGTTCGTCATATCTACTCCCTTTCCCTCAAGTTCGCGGCCACACAGACACGGAATTATCAAGGTATGCGACGAGTTTCCTGGCTTCACCCGATACAAGATGCACCAGCCGTTTGGCACCCCAGAGCCAAAATTAGTATCAGTCCCGAGATCCCATGCTCGTCATCCAACAGATACGTACCCTGATGCGTCCGAAATCACCATAAACAAAGCCATTGCCGCCTTGTTACCGAAATTCAAGGATAAAGTGCTTTTCAATCGAGCAATGTGCTGGTGTGCTGATACGGCAGACGCGAATTTGCTGATATGTGAGCATCCGAGATGGAAAGTATGTATCTTTGGATTTAAGGATTTTGTGCACGACGCCTCAGACATTCGCGCTCTTTCAGAATCTCTTCGTGGCTACTGGTGACAGCGGGTAGGTAGATTTTTCTACTCTGCTAACCTGTTCCTTGATCTGACGAACAGCTTGCAAGGCATTCATTTAAGCTTCTCCCAATCGTGAATAAACAAACATCTTTGTCAAAGGGTTTCAGGATACTGATAACTGCTAGATTGGTAAATACGTTGTGGAACTATTGGAAGGAACTCTACAAGAGGACTTGCGCGAATCGTGGCGATGGCGTCCGGGTTCTGGGGATGCACGAAAGTCCAAGCGAGCAGCACCCGCAGAGGATTTGGCTGACCTTCCAGGATGGAAGCATGACCCGGCGGCTGTTACGAAGACGCAGGCCAAATTGACTGTGTACTAGAGTCCGGAGGGAATTAGTGGTTAAGTGCGACGAAGTAGCAGCTACAACATAACACATCGCTTCGATTTCCCTTCTGATCCGGGTAGACTGAACATCTGAGAGATAAGCTCAAGTATTGGTTCCTTCAATGAGCCCCAGGACTAACTTCAAAGATGGTTAAACTCTCCTACATGGACAGGGGCGAACGACGAACCATCTGTTCATCAGACAGTATTTGAGATAACATACGATAGGATGTTAAACTGCCTCCTCAAGTGTAGGCGCATTGCGACGGCACTTCCAACGCAAACCCTGATACAACTGCGGCTTTGTGCTCATCTCCTTTTGCACTAATACAGGCTAATAGTAGCACATTGGAATCATTGGCAGAGAATAGTTCTCGATCAACCTTTCAACAAAGCCGACAGCCGAAAATTCATACAGAAGAGACACAACGAGTATATGAATGAGGTCACTGAGAACAAATTCTATGAGGATGAAGCGACATTCAGTATCTAATGTTGATGGAATAGGGTGAAATTGTCCACGGCTACTCCTGCAGATGACGGAGAGCCTCCCACGTTCAACAAGGATTGTGTGACGATAGCATATTGTTTTGAGATTGCATTTCGCAGGAGCGAGCCAAATCGTCAAGTTTCAGAGGATCGTTTTGCCGCTGCGATGATCTTGATAAGATGAAGCCAAATTTAGATTTAAGTGTAATGCCCGCCTAGCTCAATCGGATAGAGCGTCAGACTCTTAATTAGGGATCGGGTATCTGAAGGCTGCGAGTTCGACCCTCGCGGTGGGCTATAAACATATAGATATCAAGTATTTTTGTAAGCCATTTCGGCAAAATTGCGAAATATCAATTCTCCTCGAACTAATTACAATTTTACATCTCATACGATATTTCTGCATCATCACTTACCACAAAACTGCCGAACTCGTACAAGTCTGTTTCATCCTCCATTATAGGTGAGCTCGAAACCCCTGGCCTTCTCCGGTTGCTGTTTTGAGTTCTGATCGAGTTACGCCCGAACCGACCTTTCCTGACCGGCTTACTAGCGAACGACGGGCCTCCGTCAGGGGCCTGTGTTAGGAGAGACTGTCGGTAAGCTAGACTCTGGTCGTACGAGGGCGAAGCTTGTGTCTCTGGAAGCTCTTTCAAAAACATGCGATCCGACTCGCTCTCGACGTCTTCGCTACCGGAGGAACCCTCGCTTTCTTCGTCCCCAGAATGTGTGGCCTCGTAATCGTAGAGAGGGTTGTACTTCATAGGAACACGTGGTCGTTTCCGGCGTTTATGCTTGTCTTGGGAACGCTTGATACCTGGTATAGTCGGAGGTGGCATTTCTGAACCAGATGATTCAGGTCGACGATGCAGACGTCGATGCGTTTGGACTGGACTTTCGATGGAGGGGGAGGAGCTCGTAAATGCCAGCGTCGTTATGCGTTTCTTACCCACAGGTCTTACAGCGAAAGAGGATTCGGGAGCTTGGGGTGAAGCATCAACAGAAATCGAAGATGAACCAACGGGGCTGTTAGGAAGGCCAGGGGGCAGCATATCGTCTCGAAAAATCTTGGATTGAGTAGGCGGTGCCTTCGTCGCTGTATTAGAATGTTTGATGGCTTCTTGTCGGGTAGAGAACCATCCTCCATTTCGTACTTGTGAAGGCGGAGGCGGAGATGACCCATACTGCATGAACTTGATCGAATCGTCCACCGGTGTTGCGCTCAGCGATGAGACACGGGTGTAAGCTGAGCGCGTAGGCGAAGAGACATCGTCCATGAATTCCAATGAATCGTCAACCGACATTCTACACTGAGATGGACCACGTCCAGGCGATGAATCAGAGTCATCGAGATCCAAGACAGAGTTGTCCGGTTCCAAAGGTTGCTGCGTTCGCTCAACGACCGGAGATGAATTTACAATGTCAAAGTCCAGCTGCACATCTTCATCTTCGTCTTCAAGCAGCCAAGCAATATTCTGATCATTGCGCGACGGAGACACTCTCGGAGGAGACTGGCTCCAGGATCCTGTTGGTGATTGGAAAGCTTGTTCAAAATCTTTTAGAGGAAAGTCAGCTGAACCGCAACGCCGAGGATATTGAAACCACGGTAACTTACCGGAGGCCTCACGATTTGAATCGGTCAAGTCGATGACTTCAGCATCGACAACAGCCTGTTCGGAGGAGCTTCGACGAGGAGATAAGGTTTTCGTTTTCGTCGTGGGGACGCCGTTCTCAATTTCCAAGTCGTCGGAATCATCAACTCCCTTGGCTTGTAATTGACTCGCTGTCCATTCCGAAGGAGGAGGAGGAGCCTCTTCTTTCTGCTTCTCCTTTCCCTTCCCTTTCTTTGACCTCTTGGGCTTATTTGGATCGAGCGTTTTGGATTTGCGCAACATACTAGTACCAGCTTTAGGTCTGGGTGCAGAAGCGGATTTCGACTTTTTGAGAGTCGGAGGTGCACCAAAAATCCCGGAGGCCAGCTCTAAATCGTCCTCGTCGTCTTCCCCCAAGGCTTCGAAATTCTTTGGTTCGCGAATCTTTTTAGCCTTCTTCCCTCCCTTCTCCTTGACCAATAGATCCGCAACGCTGACGAAACCTGTGCTAGCTCCCTGTGGTATGTTTCTCCCTATGTCATCATTCCTCTTGCGCTTTACACCCTTCTTTGGTGAATTGTCGCGCTTCTTGGGTGCTTCATCGCGTACGTACGGAATTATCTCCATTTCTTTCTCCAGACATTGAGGCTGAACATTATCTGGTAGTAGTCGTTCAACGTCTGCATAGAATTCCAGATGCGATCCATATATGATCGAGGTCTGGACATCTTCGTAGCTAGATTGGGCTTTATCGAAATTGGCCTCTTCGCGGCCATCTGCGAGAAGTACGTGGACATGACCAGACCGTTTTCGCCCTGTGCGTCCTAATCTTTGCAGCTAATTACGATCGTTTCAGTGATTACTCTTCCCAAGGATCAATATTCCACATACCAAACGAATCGGTGTTTTTTGCGTATCGTAGCAGATTGCGAGATCGACTTCGCCAATATCAAGACCCTCTTCGCCGATGGAGGTTGCAACGAGAATGTTGAACTCGTTATTCTTGAATTTCTTTATGATCTGAAAGGAGTGCATCAATTCCCACCACAAGTAGACATGCATCATTGTCGCACCTCCAACTGCTCGCGCTGTGCCAGCCCTTTCTTTCCTTTCTTGTCTGTCCCTTGACCAATAAAAGGCGTAGCCCTAATGAGGGGCTGCTCTGCATTCAAGACTTCCACGATCTCATCTACTGCAGCTCGGTGTGTAACGAAAACCATGGCCTTCGTTGCCCCTTCTCCACTTTCCGGATCGCCATCCTCACTCATTCGCGCACCAAAATGCTGCATGATCAGATTTTTCATCTTCTCCATCTTGGGATGCATTTTGAATCCTTGCGCGTTTTGAGCACGTATTTCATTCATAAGGCTGAGGAACAGCGGGTTGGTGTGCACCTTTTTGGCTTTTGTAGCCTTAGCTTTTTCCGAAGGTTTCATACCATCTGTACTGTCAGGGCCACGAGCGTAGGCTTCAAGATCGTCGTAGCACATCTTCACCGTACCTTCCATCTGGATTTCGGAGATAAGGTGAATGATCAAGTCTTACAGTAGGACAACTGTCTTACAAGATAACCAAGCCATCGAGCAAATGAGCTCAAGGTATATAGAGGGCCGCAAAGATGACGTTGTCCTTGGGCCAAACTTGCGGCAAGAGATGTCGCTGCAAATGGATGCATCCGCATTAAATTAGGAGATCCCCTCCAGATATGTGCAATGGGTTTGAAGAAAGACTAGTATAGCTGTCAGTGAAAGACGACGTTCTCCTCCATCAAATTACGCGGCTTACGTCCATGAGTTTAAGAAATAAATTCTTGATTCTGTTAATCTCCGGCGTCATCGATATGACATGCTGCTCAATTTCCTGCACACCAGCATTGAAAGGTCAGCGGTTGGATTATGCTACGTCGTGGTAATGGTGCATACTTTGACGTGATTATAGCGAGCCAGTTCTCGCTCGGCTCGGATTTCGATATGACTGATGTGCAGTCCGTCAATGAGGGTTTGGACAGCTTCTTTGTTGCCGCCAGGAGTAGCAGTCAGAGCCAACACTCGGAAGTGAGGGTTTTTTGCCATCATGTAACGAATGACCTGGTTATAAGCATAATCGCCCGTGGCACGATGGGCCTCGTCTAAGATTTAATTGATAATTGTTCGATGACAACAATTAGTGAGAACTCACCCACGACTAGAAGAACAATATCTCGAGCATCGCAGTTCTCTGATTGTAGATCATTAATCAGTGTCTGGGGTGTCATGTAGAATACGCGTTTCTGTCCCCACTGAGCTCGAAAAGGTCAAATCGAAGAAGGATGGGCAAGAGAAACACGGAGCTCACAAATTTATGTCTTATTGGTTTGGAGACTTGCCCGGTCATCTCAATCGCATCACTTCCTGGTATACCACAAGCTTCGTGGCAAGCTTCTATCTGCTGCGACACAAGTGGTCTCGTTGGAGCAACGAAAACTACTTTTCCCTCCGGGAACCATCGATAATCTAGCTGCAAAGTGAGCGTATGTTGAAAGACGTATTGACGACTCACAATTTAACATGACTACGCCAGCAATGAATGTCTTTCCTGTCCCAGTCGGAAGAGCTACAATTGTGTTTTCGAATAGACTGTTCCTAACGATATCAAACTGATAATCACGTTTCGGTCGGTTTAGAGGGAAAATCCAGTGTTTGGCCTCCAAAAGGTCGAGTTGGATTTTCCTGGGGGGAGGCTGGAAGAATTTGAGAGCTGTAACCATTGCAAGACGAGTTCCGTACCGTCACTTACCGGACTAGGCACGCATCGGCAAGTTCAAAGTTGAGCTTGCATTTGACAGAAGGGAGCTTTCACTCACCCAACTAGTTGCATAGAATAGGGTTAAGTGTGGACGTGACAATAAACGTATGAACTCACGAGATACGAAAGGGGGTGGAAACTGTTCGAACTCGAACTCTTCCTCTTCTTCCCCTTCCTCATCTTCGTCCTGCTGCTTCTTCTTGCCCTTTCCCCTTGCGTTGCCAGTCTTAACTCCTGTCTTTGCAAAAGCAGTATGATCCCATCGCTTTGTCTTCCGAGGTTCTTGTTTGCTTCTGGTCCTTAGAGCATGAGGTTTGGGTCTAGTGGTAGATGATCCCGCTGGTATGACCTCTCCAAATAGAGTAGTCTGCAATGTGCCTTTGGACGATGTTCTTGCGAGTGAAGGGGCAGCTTTTCGTGGTAACTGTTGGAATGTCCCATCCTCTATAGCTTTGAGAGCATCAAGAGCGCTCTCGTCAAGGTCGATGAATTCACCATAGTCAGAGCTATCTATGTTGATTGGGGAAGGAGCTCTCGCGCTGACAGGGCGTTGCTCAGTCGATTGCTGATATTGCGCCTCGATCGCATTAAGCTGCTCGAAAGTTTCGTCGTCAATATCATCGTTGGAGTAGGCATCAGAGCTCATCCCAAGAATCTGAGGGGGTAGCCGTCTGGACGAGTAATGAGCACAGACGTGATGGTGATATTCAAGGTGTCGAAAGGTTGAAACGCGACCGCGTTTGTTCCGATCACATGATAGAGAGTGACTGATCAATCCTCGGAAATTGCCGTCATTACCGCTTAGCCAATTTTATTCCCTTTCAGTGTTCAAACAACCTTAGATTTCTTTCAAGTAACCCTCAGCCAACTCCTCTATCTCGATGATACTTGAAGAATCAAATGCCCCACACTTGAAACCTT